TAATTTAGGAATTTTGGTGAAATAAAGACCACTTATTTTCCATGAGCCTCATATCAACTGAAGATAGACCTTCATTTTATTTTCCATTTTGGCTGGGTTAGCATGGTGCCTCTGGCCTTTTAAAAAAAATACCATTTTTGCCTGACTTGGTGTGCCTAGAACAGCACCGGCAAATTTTTTTTGATTTCACCTCAATTTAGCATGTAAGTTTTCTCCTCCTTCTCCCTCTCCCTCTCCTTCTCCTTTCTTCAACAACCATGAAAAATCTTTTTTTGGAAAAAAGAAAAGAACCTGCAAGTCACCCTCCCTGCCTCGTCTCTTCCTCCTTAACTTACCCAAGTTAAAAAAAACCAGCAAAAGACTTGAGTTAAAGGAGTTGAAAGAAAAAAAAACAAAAGAAAGAAACACGTATTGTTTTGTAAAGAAGCCTCATTAGCTGTTGAGGAGGAATGACTCCTGATATCAGGAGCCAAGCATTCTCCTTCATGTACAGGATATGAGAAAATGTAGAACTTCGAGGATGAAATTCAGTATTGGCGGTGTATGCCATGCCCAAGAGCCAAAAAATAAACATATAATAAGACATGTTTATGTTACCAAATCTGAACAACCCATATATGCAAATCTGCCTGATTTATATGATTTAGATTATTCATGTCCTAGTTAGTCACAAAGATATGAAATTGCTCTCAAGTTATAAAAGCATCCCACGCCTATACACTTGCGAGTGTAGGCGATTGAGGACCATCAATATTGCGTTATGAGATTTACTTACATAATGGATGTGTTATGAGACTCACTTACATCAATAATTCCCAGTTAGTTTGCATGCATGTATGAACCACCGATAGTAGAAATGCTATAATATGAAAGTGCTCGTAGGTTATTTTGTCATTTCCTGCTAGTGGCAAACCTTCAATCTTTTTATTAACTGTGACAGAAAAATGCGAACGAAATGTCGGAAGGAACAAGCGGTGCGTACAAATCTTACATGCTACCCAAGCAATTATTTATAAATTTTGGTCACTTGTATTGTATTGTACCCCACCATCGCAGGATTGGTGAATATGGGTGGTGGGAGAAGTGCAAGCGTCACACGTGCATGTGTACACCATGGATATGTGGATTTGGTGAGATATTGGTGAGGTAATTTGTAAGCAAGGAAAAATTTATTAAACGAAGCTATACCGTTGCATCTATGTATGCTTAAGGTTCTCTAATGAAGCTACACTAGCATTGCATGTTTGTT